GCACCGAAAACGAGCTTGTTTGCCAAATTGACTTCTTGATGCACTCCACGGGTATTTTCCAGTATGTTAGGATTCGAATAAGGTACGTGTGCTATTCTAATCGAAGTTCTTGTATTTCGGGGATAGGTATTGCGCTAATCCTGGAGCTCCATTACGAATACTATTCAAAATAATGCATTTATCGTTGCGACCTACTTCTGTTATTCGAATCCTATGCTATGCATGTTCATTGTAATAAAGGTGTACAAGTACGTTTTAGAGGTCAGTGTTGCACATCACACCTAAATAACATAACGAGGAGACTCAATTTGCCAAACGATTCAGCGATTCTTGCGTCGTCGGTGCGTTGTTACGGAGTAAGAGTAGTCCGAGTGTGCAACTCTGTCTCCAGGATGATTCTAGACCCCAGAAATCGTTAGGTTATGTAACGCATTTTGTAGAAAATCACCTATGGCAAGTTAAAGAGAAACCCTATCGTGCCCCACCGATGACAGGAAATGAGGGTGAAAGTTCACAACAGATCCTAACCTATTCCGATGTTGGGTGGTAGAGTTATTTTAAAGGAATACTTCTTGGGTAATCCGTATCTCTGCAAACAGCTCCACAGTGCAGGTCGATCGATGGAGTCGAAGGCTACTCTGATGTCCAAAGATACGACGATAGATAGATCCTATCACGCAGCTTTAAAGAGCAGCATTTCTGGTAGTGACGTTCGGGAAGGTTTCGCAAGACCATCGAACGACGACGGTTGAGTGGTTGAAAAGGACTAGATCACTGAAAAGGCCAATGAACTTGAGCAGAACACGATCTGGAACTGTCAGAGGGGCTCTACCTTGAACATGGCAAACATATTTCATGGACAGACGTATTTCGGTCTGGTGAAGAGGGCTAAGCTACAAAGAGGTAAAACCCGCTTCGCGAGAAAACTGCTACACATCATATTGGACGCATGCGGTGCAAGTTCCAGAAAATGAGGGGTGGAAAATAAAAAACATTACAACTTGTAGCCCAAGTAGAACTTTAGAAGGCGTGAGAAGATTTGAATTTGAACTGAATATAACATACAGATTCAGAGTACAGAAATTACACTCACCAGATGCAGAACATCCAGGAGTTGATTTTTCACATTGCGAACCACTTGATTTTCTGTGCCACAAGAAAGTATGAACTGAATGAATCACATGCACATGATTCAAATTCAAATTCAAATTGAATAAGTATGAGTATTAGAAGAGGATAGATGGAAAGTGTCTCTAGAAGGAGGCACTGGACAGTAGAACGAAAAAAACAAGCTGAAGCAATTACAAAAAGAGTGAGCATAATTGATCTGTCTGATAGTCCTCCCATTAGTGGAGGAAATATTCCTCCTCGTAGGTAGTTCACAATTTCCCTAACTATCCTGGTTCAAGCTTGAGAAAAAAAATGGTTTGAACAAATATAATGTATATTATTCTGTTTATTGTACACAGATTTCTGGCTTTTTAGGCACACAAAGCTGTTCTTTTTACACAGTTGACGGAATTTTTGTCAACTGAGCAATGCCAGTTGATACCATGTGGCATCAAGTAGACAATATTTATGTTTGTATGTGTGTGTGTGTGTGTGTGTGTGAGCCGTTACTAGTATTAGTAACATTTATGCATGCCGATTTATCCAATCCATGAGACTTCTACATTCGGCTGTGTCTGGGTACTTGTAGTTTCAGTTGCACATTAAACTGTACTTTTCGCTGACGCCGATGTTCCGGATTACCGAGCACTTTTTGTAACAGTGTTTTGCCCTCGAATAGCGGCCACACGAGAGTATTGATCATAATACTCAATACAGGTACATCTTTCCCCACATAATGTTGAACAGCTTCCGCTAACCAACGAAGGAAAATTGTGATGTACAAATCCATGGATATTCTTCGTCGTCCGAAGCATAGTTTACGAAATATGGTTGAATGTAATCCACGCAATTTGGTTGCTGATATGCCGAAATATCCTAAACACTCCCACAAACCACATTCGGTAAAAATGATAAGCGAAATAGATTCGGACATTGTTCCCCCGTAATAACCATGTTGCATTGTATAGCAGCACAATACGGCTTTGAGACCACCGTGAATAATATCCTTGTCTTTACAACCGCGAAACGTATAGAATTGTTCCGAAATATTTGGAAGTTTGTCATCTTTTTCCTGGCTATGACAAATCCCTGGCGAACCACACTGTGAGGCTCTCGAGCCCAGAGATCGCAAGCGAAAAACCGGAGTGGCGAATAATGTGCGAATTTCACTTTGACTCTGTCGTTTCTCCGAGTCGCTGACATGCCGTNGACGTGGCATCCTAAATTAGACTATTTGTTCAATATCGTAAAGGATCGATCGAGGGGACAATCACGTGTGCCATTTTCAAGCTGAAAACTTGTAGAATGATCTCACATGACGTCATTCAGGTGACCCACTAGCTGCAGCAAATACTGGATAGCTACCTAACCGCCACTAACAAATGAGATTTAAAACGATTTGGTTTACCGCCAGCATTTTCAATGACCGAGGTGAAACTTGCTAAACATGTCATCATCATAGGTTCCTCCACGAGCTGTCTGATATAAATGTAGACAGAGCGTTTAGAAAAGTATTAGCCTTGGATCCAAAGTTCTACTCCTAGAGGGAAAATTCAAGCAGTTGGATTCGGAGGCCAAGTTGGAAAAATTTAATGTTCAGTTATCAGACTTGTTGATCTCATCTCCATTGGAAGCCGAGCAACTTAAGTCTATTGTTTATCAATATCAGAGTGCCAAATCATAGATTAACGGATAAATAACTAAAAAAAGAACGTATTAATAAACTTTGAGACTTACAAAGAAACACGAAGGTTATCACAAGATATTTGGTAAGGCCCAGGCTAATAAATCAGTCTACAGTGAGAATATAGCGACGCTTCTGAATGAGGAATAGAAATTCAGAATAATGTCCCATAAAAACGACAAGATACCTCAAATACGGCTTAAACGATAGAGTATATGGATTTTGCCACGTTTAACGGGGGTAGTCCAACATGGACCACGGTTTCACGAGTGTATGAGGTGACCAAAGTGACGTCCTTCTACGGTCGATCCGGAGCATGTGCTACTCTCCTGACCACGCGGTGGATCGTCTTTGAGCACCGGTGCTAATGGCGATGATTCAGCATAGCGTTAAGGATACACTCGGTCTCACTGATGCCTTGTGAAGTTTAAATGGCAAAGAACGTCAGCAGTTTTCGCCAAATTTGACGAATGTTTGGTGTGACAATTAATAATCTGTGATTACATCGAAAGCAACGGGATAGACATGGTTCTACCACCGGGTGACTTAAAACAATTGTTATTCTTCTGAACTGACAATGCGCAATTCAAGTTTAACGAGACAGTTCATAGACAAAAGGAGAGTGTAGCGCTGAGGTCCCCGTCAGGAACCTTATTTATCAATGTTTTAATGTTTAAAACAGAAAATGGTGCGCTTGAAATACATAATGAACCATGCTTACCGTACAAGCGTTACATAGGTGACATTTTGTATGGGGTTGATTCCGCAAAAGGTCGGTGAACATCCACAAGATCATTTGAATGCTGCACATCTGAGTATTTTACTTCACGACTGAAAATGAAGAATATTTAGATGTTTTCGTAAATCTTGACGATGATGGGTCGATCAGACGGTCAGTTCACAGGAAGAGGAAGTGGAATGGGCAGTACATTCATTTCCGTAGCTTTGTATCAAGCAGTATTCAGAATAACCTCATGATCTGTTTGGCCCTCAGAGTGAGAAGGATCTGTACAGAGGAACCACTGGTTGATGAACTCCGAAATGTGCGAAATATCCTTACCTAGAACGGATGCCCGAAGCGCTTGGCTGAATCTGTGATGCAAACACGCGAGTTGTTTCTCAAGAGGGTCAGTACTACAAGTCTGTGTGCATCTCTTTACCATCCCTTACCATCTTGGCAGGGATAGTGCATAGGAAGCTGTCAATTGACATCAACAAATGTTTTACCCTTCCAAGCTCCAAACCCAATTCATATCAAGCTCGTTAGTAAATCGGCGTTTGCGTACAGAAAGCCCAGTTTTGCTGTCTCGTTCCGTCTTTACTCTTTCGCTTGTTCCTTTGAAGCAAAGAAAGTTGGCCACACGAATAGGCTCCCGTATGAGCGTATCCGTGAAATGCATTAAAAAGTGCTTGTTTGTCATTTTGCTTTCTTATTTTGCGTTCCCTAGGAGTGCTTCAAGAGTACCTATCTTCGTCCTAAAGTCAAACTGAGTTCAAAGTCTTCATTTGTTCGACACGCATTTTAGATTGCTGAACACCACAGTGATAATTTTAATAGAATGTAACAGAATGTGGTATTCCAGCTAATAGTAAATGACTGATCGTCTTTCGGGCCGTATTTGGCCTAAGCACAAGTTTAGTCAAGAAACACTTTATGCACAAGAGCTTGTTTACAACGCACTGCTTGTGCGTCACCTCCTGCACAACGTCCAACTTTGTGGACCATGGGGCCATTATCGGGCCGGATGTGCCGAACGATTCAGTCATAAAACATGCAGGATCTCGGAACTCGGCATGGACCATGTCTCATTTATAATGTGTCATAATAGATGATGATATCACTGCCAGTACAGCGGGACGGTCGACAGTCCTATCACAGTTCCAACCCAGTCCTATCGGAGTCCCGTCAAGACCGTGCCAAATGTTTTAAAACTGGGTCTCATCGAGGGGAAGGATATTTGAAACCCGTTTCGGCTGCAAACGGACTCCGATGGAGCTCCCATAGGGCTTAAATGTGGCCACTGTGCTGCATTGGAAGTCAAGAAACTTGTTGTGAACTCACAGAGTGAATTCTCATCAGTTTAGAAATTTGTACATTGAGAGTATGTTCATACGATACAAACAGAACTAGATTTCACATTATAGGACTAAAGCATTCTCACGCAATAACCTTTACTTAAATTAGTTAACCTACGAGTAACTAAGAGACGGATAACTTACAGTTCACTTCAGTTCAGTTTTTACAACCATTAACAATGCACTTTTGTGCACCGGTCTTGGTTGCTGTCTTTTGGGGCCCCATTTGGGTAAAAGAGCAGAATGAAGATGGAGTGTTTCAAGCAAATTCAAGCGGAAGATGGAGAATTCATATATAGTAGTGTTAGGAAAATAAAGAGTGGATGCACGAGTGCCATGGTTTGTGACACAGTCATATCACTCGGTGTCCCCAGCCAGGGAGCCTATGCGACCTAGTTTCCGGGTTAAGGTTTTCATACTCTCCTACCAGGTCTTCGTTTTACCACCCTTAACCTTTTTCCAACAGCTATCTGCCTCAGCAAACATCGCGCCGTGGCAATCTATTTGGTAACATGCGTAAAGAATGCTTCAACCAATGTAATCTATGGAGGTTGATTACTTGCTCCAGTGGACGACTGCGATTGCCTAACCTCAGCATTGCTCATCCTGTTACCCCACCAGACTCGTGCAATGCTATGTGGACAGCGGTGTTCGAACACCGACAATCTGTTTTTATCCTGTTCCCGTAGTGTCCAAGTCTCTGCACCGTAGACCAGGACTGACCGAACTGCTGCAGTATGTACTCGACCCTTCACAGGCAGCTGGATGTCGCGACGGTGCCACATATGTCACAAAGTACAAGGTACAGAATGATACTGTTCCGAAATGTGGATCCATCTATGTGCAGAAGGTAGTGGAAACTTTGAGCGTGGTCAAGGATTCAATACATGTTTCAAGATTTCGTGTGACCGACAGTGTCCTTGATGACGGTATATTGTGTCAATGAACCAATCACAAGCGTCGTAAGGTTTGGAAACAAAATGATCAACCAAAACACGTCTATCAAGGCCACCGTATTTGGACTAAAGCTTGTAGGAATCTAGAACATAGGCTGGAATCGCTATCTCATAAGCTATGAATGAGTACGGGGGAGTATTGTATTGTATTGTAATAACTTCTGCAAGCATGAAGCCCACATTTCAGTTAAAAATATACAGTTTGGAGCAAGCGAGGAAATAAAAATAACATTGAAAAAAGAGATTTAAATCATAAAAACTGTTAACAAAGTCTGTGATAACCTGTTCTTTGTTAACAAGAATACCTGCTAATGAGGGTACTGCGGAGTTACGATAAATGTTTATTCTAGAGGGAACACAACGATACTGTGATCTAGTTGAGGGATGGGAGCAACAGAAAGTTAGATCAGCATGTAGCGGATGTGTGGAGTCGATGAGAGTCTTATGCGCAAACTTTTCACTTGCATTCAAATGACGTTCGCATAGGTTAGTTATCAACTCCTTTAGTGGTATAGCCAGTGTAAAGGAATGCGGGCGACCACAAATTCAGAAATAAGGATTTGGGGAACCAAAAGTTTTCCGAGTCTCGAAACATAAAGTAACAATTTCCAGGCAGACCATAACAGGTTATGCATATAAGTTCCAGCGAACACAGTGAGCACTACTGAAGAGTCCTAAATAGGATGAAACGGCTGTCCAGTGCTCTTTGTCGGTTATCACGTAGATGTCTATCGCGCTTCGCTAATTTCTCTATCCACAGTTGACAAGACCTAGTTGAATTTGATATTTTGCTTACGGAAGATTACTGTTGCTAATGATTGCAATCCTAGACGACCTGAACACACTTGAACCTCTCGCCCAATCATGATGAGCACCCAAATAGCACAGAAAAGTTGTCAGGATTTGGACACAGTCAACAGCTGTGAATTGGACAAATTTTAAAATAATGTTTGAAAAATAATCCCACATGAAAAAAGGAAAAATCACTTTTATTTTCACAAATAGGTCGGTGTCCGCTCTTTTTAGTTCGATCGCCTGTGATCGAACAAGAAATCACGTATTCGGACAATGGAATACTGTTTGAGCGGAAAATATCGATATTAAAAACAAATCATTTGCTTTTTTTGTGTGTGGAAATCTCTGTCGAGCGCGCGTTGCGCTCATCTCAGTCTAATGCTGAGGTGACTAACTGATGTCAATTAACAAAGAGTGTTTGTCCCTTTGCATCATGCATGGCTTTCATGCATGTGTGCGTACCGAACTGCACTGGACAGTTGTCTCGCAGCGCCGGTTATCGGTTTCGGTTTTATGGTTTTCTCGTCGCCCATGGTGAATGTATACGCGTGCGTGTGCATCCTATCGATAAAAACACAGCAGATCACTTTAATGTCATGAGTCCTGGTATGATTGTTGACTTTCAAAAATCGTTCTATTGTTTTCCGTCTTGACTCCGTGTTCCATTTAGATTCATCAATTATGTATTTGTTGTCTAATCCGATGTCGCCGAGGAATTTCACCTCACAGATGCAATAATATGTTTTGCGTGTGTATGTCTGAGTGTGGGACTAAGGCGGAGCTGAAAGCGAGATCCGTCCGTTGCTATCATGCTTCCATTGAACACATCATTGTTCCCTAGTTGATTTACGCTTGTCGGGTTTGGTGCTGATAACTATATCTTCGTCTGAATCAGATTTTACTCTAGTATTCAATGCATTTTGAATAAGAAAAGCTCTTTGACTGAAAAATTCCCGTTTGACTGAAGCAAAGTCATTCAGCATTTTTGTACGGGGCTGACACACCACTTTTGGGGTGTATTGAAACAGTGGGAAAATGATTGCTTCTTCAATAAAATCTCTACTCAGACCGGGAATATCTATCGCACATTTGAGGGATTGTGCCAGTCGAGGAATAAACTGTTCAATATATAAATCCACGCTCATTTTTGCTCGACCGTTAGCAATGGTATAAAAGGTGGTCGTGTGAATTCCTCTGAATTTCTGAGCAGACAATCCATGGCCTCGTAACCATGGAACCACATTCCGAGCGGCAAACAATGTTTGTGAGGCCAGATCGTCAATAGTACCGCTGTGCATGCCACGCGAGGCAGTGTGATCGAAAATGGATGCTTTTAGCGCACCGCGGATGATATCCACATCACCACATTTGTGCAAATTTAGAAACATCGGATAAAATGGGCGATTGGTGAACAATGGACTAGATGGTAAATAGGTGCCTTTCACTGAGGTAAGCAGCCCGGGTAATCCATCGCTGGAATTGTCTGAATGCTGGCTCCGCTTAGCTGGCGTTTGCTCCGGACTCATGAATGCCTCGTCCATCTGTTTTTGTTAGTTTTTCTAGCGATTAACAATGCTGTTCTTTTAAACTGGCTCTATTGATTATTGATCATGGATGGACATCATTGATCTCATAGATGCTATCACATCACAAGACCTGATCTGTTTCACGTGACCAGTTTTAGTACAGTTTGATTGTTATCTTTCCTTCATTCAACCCATCATGATAAGACACTGGGTATGGGGTGGGATTTAGACTAAACGTTACGAATTATTTTACATGAATTCAGATGTTCTGTAGTCGCTGTCACCACACAGTCTTCATACCTTTTCATATGTTTACTTCCTTTTATTGTTTAGACAAATACCATATTTCAGCGAGGGGAAAGCGACCAATCAAACGACTGTCATACAGCACATAGAAGCTCGGTAAACTTTTCTGAAGGGACGGGATTCGAAAACATTTCTGCCGGAGTAATAAGTGAGTTACCCTGTTGCTTTTATTAGTGATCCCTCGGTCCCACCCCCTGTGCACATCTAAAAGTATACTGACGACGTCGTTTTGTCTCAGACAGTTTCATCTCCCTTGAACTTTCATTCTTTTACTGAAAACTTATCCCACATCCAACAGTTTTCTAACCAATCTGGTCTCAGTCTTAACATATCTAAGTGCGTAGAGTGTATTTTCAGTCTTTCACGCTCCTCATTTCCAACGGACTCTGCTACCCTTAACAATAAACCCGTATCTAGAATGCCCTCAGTGAAGTACCTGGGTGTCACCATCAACAGCAATCTTTGTTGGTCTACAAATACTTACAATTGTGTAGGAAAACTTAGAAGCCTATCTTTTCAGTTACGCAAACTGAGGTAATTCCGAACCCCACAATCAGTCCTGTCATCTTTCGTTCATCAATACGTTTTACCCATTCTACTTTATTGCTCTCCTGTAGTGTTTCCCGGTCTTTTAAAACACGACTTCAAAACAATTTGCCGCGGTTTGGTGATAATCAGTCGTGCATCACTAATCCCAATTGATTTATTAATCACAGAACTCATTGATGGTCACATCAACTCTTGTTTTAAGTTTGCTCACCAGATTCTAGATGACCATCTTCATCCAATACACCCTGATCTTTCGTCTTGTCGTTCCCATCCGTCCAAATGCTCCTTATTTCGACATATACCCTCTCGCATTAACATTTATAAAAATTCCCCTATACCCTACCTGGCCCGACTACTTACCAAAAAGGAACAGGTATCAAATGAACTATGTCAAATGTTTTGTACATGAAACACATATCACCGACATTCTTTACCTCTCGTTTTTATTATTTTTATTTCATTCTGCGTGACGAACAGTGTACGTTTTTAACTAAAATATAAGCATATATGCTCACACAAGTTACACAAATACAAATACAAAATACAAATAAAGCATGCACAATCTCACACGCAGATGGTAATCTACCCTCAAATTTGTTAAAACAGTAGAAAAAAAATTACCGGAATCACTCTCCCCGAGAGGTGGTTAGGCAGAAAAAATTAATGGCAAAATCGTCGAAAACCGCTACTCATTACGAGTTCAGCATCTGTGATCCATAAATAATTGCTGGATGATCGCCGTAAGAAAATCTTCCTATGGGTTATTTTGAACGCAGCTCCCGGAGAATCACATGAGGTAACATCATCAAAAAACATCCGGAGTATAAGCATAAGAAGTCTGCAATATACGCATAAATGAAGAAGGATAACAACCGCAAAGACAGTCCACAGAAATATCATCCACTCATCAGATGACATTTATCATTCAAGTATTAGAACACTGAGGGGCAAGCAAACTCGTTTACAGTGATTCGAANATTCGAAGTCTGCTAGTAAGTCGCAAAGAATGGCTCAATGTGTACATTGAAATCAATTTAAACTAAACTACCGGTAATCAACCATACAAATCGTCAAATTGATTTGCGAAAGAGAAAATATACTTTGCATTTAACTCACAATTACTTGTGAGTATTGATATGGAGATAACTGGTATTTATTGAATCGAACTGACTATCCTTCGGATTTCACTTTCACGCACACTCGTCAGTTCATCGATTCAACGATACACTCGGGTTGCGCTCTTATTAGAGCTCATCAGTAGTACATATCCACCGTCACGTCCGGTATTTGAAATCCGGATCCATCACATAAAAGGCGTGTGCGTTACCACAGTTATCAGGGTTTTCATACTCTCATGCCAGGTCATAGCTTGACCATCCTTGGATTTACTTCACTCACTACCTGTCTCGGCAAACATCACTCAACTTGGCCACCTACCTGGTAGCATGCGTAACACATGCCCCAACCAACGTAATCTATGGAGGTCGACCATTTGCTCCAGTGGACGACCGTGATTACCTAAAACTCTGCATAGACAGCGGTGTTCAAACACCGACAATTTATTTTTTCTGTTTTCTCAATGGCCAAGTTTCTGCGCCGTATAGCAGAACTGGCCGAACTACCGCAGCATACATTCGATTCTCCACACACAGCCGGATGTCGCGACGGCGCCACAGATGTCTCAAGTTCGCAAATGTCAACCGAGCCTTCTGTATACGAACTGACACTTCATCTGTGATGCGTCCACCGATCGAGAAATACGAATCACTTATTAGAAATCACGGACGCAACGTGAGCACTGGATCACACTGGTACTTGCAAGCAGTATCCCACGTAACCGAGACGCGAGGAAAAGGTCACAGGAATAACAGTTCGTTTACTGAAAGAAATCAAGGGGATTAAATAATATGTACAGAACAAATTCATTGGTCATCCAAGCCTGTGCCAATCGCATGCTAGTGTTTCTGGCGTTGTTCAGTTTCTGTCTTAGCAGCACGGTTTCTGACTGGTTGGTACAATCGACCTATGGTGTCAAATCTCACTTATTTATAAGTGTCGTACAATCATGAAACAAACAAGCATGCTATCAACAGAAGAAGATATTTGTGGGCAGAATCGATATTGGCCATCAATTTCACATGCTTATACTCGGCTGCAAACGCATATTATATGTCAAACGAAAAAACATTGGAGTTAAACTGAGTCATTAGTACAAGGTGGTGGTGTGATAATCCTAGCTACTACTCCTGTGGCCTTTTCCCTGAGTCTAGGTTATACGGGATAAAGTCGTGCAAGTACCAGTGTGATTCCATGATTCCCAATACGCGATTCACACTCCGTGATCTGTGCGTGCTTCAACCATTACAGGTGGACAAGTGAGTTGTCTGATTTGGGTTTGGTTAGGGGTTGAAATCAGGGTAGATGAAAAAAATTTATATGGAGGTGAAACAGTCCAAACAATGTAGTGAATGTGGTGGAGGGAGGTGCAGACAAGGTCATGTCACACACGATGTTCAGGTGGCATAAAACGTTGCTCAGATGTATCATTTCAACTTTTGTCCTCTTCTGTTTGACATGATCATAAAAATGTACGTTTACAGCTGAATGAGAGCACGCGAAATTGATGGCCAATATCAATTCTGCCTACATATGTCGTCTTGTGTTGATGAGATGGATAAAGGGAAAAGTTTGTTTTACAAACAAGCGTAAGTAAATTTTTCAGTGGATCACAAGCATAACGGACAAGAACAAAATATGACGGAACTGTTTCATCTGTGCTTTAATTTTTCAGCCGGGTGTACTATTTCTGCAAACATACTGGAAGTTGAATGGTGAAGTTGTGAAATGGGAATCTCTCTGAGCTCTACGGTCGACATCAACAGCCTCAAGATATGTCCAACTGAATCAATCCACACTCTCCACTTACCCTGGTCCCAAAGTGATCAGTAACACTACAATCCTAGTCAACTTCACCCAAACACAGACACCGATCCCCAACCCGAATGAATTTTTGATCGTGATCGCGTGAAAATGTGCCCCCACTAACAACACAAACCCTTATACAATCGGTGCTGGCAGAATTATGGATCGATCGAAAACAAATGTTTTCCTTCGGGCTGTTCTGTCATTTATTTGTCTTATTGGTTTTACCGATTTGTAGATCAATAAACAGACTGTGGTGTCTGACAATTTAAACAGGCTAAACAAGGACAAGTGTTATTGTTACTGAATGGGGTTATCTCTTAAAGCCATTTAATGGATAACCGCTTCGATCACGTCCAGAACGTTGACAGTATTCATATAGTAAACCTGTGAAGATCCAGGCTAAACACAGAGGACACAATGGTCCCCGGGTTAACACACAGGGACCATTCGCGAAAGTTCTCACATAGCGTGTTTGCAGTGATCAACTCAAATCCTGGTGTAAAAGCGGATGAGTCGCACACGTGACCACCAAGCTGCTTCGAAATGATCCCTAGTAGGAAATGAACAATTATACAATCACAACAAAGCTTCTGCTGTTTGTAGCTGTCACAATCATGTTGCGATCAAATATTCCGAACTGCATCTAAAGACTACCAATAACTATATTACATCGTATTTGTTACGATTGCTTCTCTCATCAAACCAGTCAGTAATTTTTATCTGTTCAGATCTATTCAATTAGTAGGAAATTGACTGGTAAGACACAGAGTGAACACGCAATGGCTCGATACCAAACGTATCGTTGATAATCTCTGAAAGCTGTTTCTTTCTGGTTTGTTGATGTTGGGATCGGTTTCACTTTTTACTGATCTCGCTTGGAATTTGTATTTTCGATCAACACAACGGATGTCGCCACAGTACTACATTGTTGCCGTTTTCTATTCTAATAACTCATCTTTTTCCCTTGAGGAAATTGACTCGGTTGGTTGCAATTACTTGTGGTATGATTATTAAAGAATGGGTTTTTGCAGACCTTCCTTAAGGTTTCGGGACTTAACTATTTTCTTTCTATAGTGTGCACTTTGGATTGAATTGTAGGCACTACTCTTACAGAACTCATAATTACAATACAATGCAATCAGTAAAGATAAGGTGTTTTAAATCTGGTGGTGACCTAAGGGAGCATGTGTGAAGACAGTTTGTGTATAGCCATCTAGAATGTATCCGGCCTATTTATGAACAAACTGTACGTAGTTTGTGTGGTGATCCAGAAGTACGAGATGACGCCTAACCTGGAGCGGCGCGCTACAGATTTTGTACACCTGCAAACAATCAAATTTCAAAGGTGGTATGAACGATATGTGTACGTGTCAATGCTTCTAACTATACACCATGGGCAGATCGTGCCAGCCAATCCGAGATAGTGCAGTCCAGACAGAAGCAGAATGACGCAACCAATACTGGAATGCGATTGGTGAAAGCCTGGATAACCAATGATCTTCTTTTGTACATATTATTTGATCGCCTTCATTTCTTCCAATAAACTAACTACCATTCACGTGGCCTATTCCTCGCGTCTCAGTCACGTGCCAGTGCCATTGCGGTCCAATGCTTCCGTGATCCAATCCGTGATAGCTGATTCTTGATTCGTGTTCCGTGATTCGTATTACGTAGTCTGTGTTCCGAGTTCCATGCGTATTACTACTACTACTACTACTACTACTACTAATAATAATAATAATAATAATAATAATAATAATAATAATAATAATACAATAATTACAGTTTGGCAGTAAAATCCGACACACATTTGCACCTTTGACCTTGAGAATGTCACCACTTCCAGGTTCCGATCACGTTGCAACATTCAGTGCGGTGATGTTCTTATTGCGGTTTAAACGAGGGGTTCAAAGGTTTCATGTTTCGTGAGTTTCTGTACGTTTATTATTGTTTTGTAATAATAATAATAATAATAATAACATAAAGGAACATCAAATTTTCATAGACAACGCTTATTTCAGCTCTCTATTGAAAAATGCCATTATCTATGGTCTTATGTTTCCTCAGCTCTGGTGACAATACAAGCGTTTCATCTAGATAATATGACAGAATATATTTGCTTGTGACAGCGTATACAGCACCACGTTCGTCATGATTTCATTCTAGATAGATCTTGGAACACAAGTGGACGAGATACTGGAGAGTTTGTCATCTTCATATTTCACTAGTTGTTCAAGTAAAGCTTCCTGCAGTCTGGTCACTGCTCTGTCAACCAGGGATATTACTGCTAATGACCACAAAATACTTGACAATCATCGTATCACTATGTTCAAGACGAAGTCTATGAGTATGGTCAACGTGAGATCATCCTTATCTTCCTCTATGGTGTGTGGTGTTTTGAAAATCGGATGCCACGATAAACAACGGTCACCGGTTGGAGCCTCACGCGCAACATCCCTACTCCCGTAGAACGCTCCCGGTGCGGAGATAGGCCTTGTAGAGTCTTCACATTTACGGTTTTCAAACTGTGACCAAGGAGAGATTTTTGATGATTCATTCCCGAAGTCTGTGTCACACGTTGGTTGAGTGGCTGTATCGGAAAGGTTTATGTCGAAGGAACCCATATCTTTTGCTGCGAATTCCCGCGGTATCAATGGAAGTGGATCCGGACGAATCACCGCGGTAAGAACGTGCTATTGTTTTATCAATGTTCCCGGATTCGTGAAATTCAGGGTAAGAGAGAGATTACTGCAGTCTGATTGATGCAGTTGTTCCATCATTGCTATCGTATTTTGCATTAGGTTAGAATCCAAGCTTTGCGCAACCGTACACATATGGCTGACTTCTCCATTATGCGACGCACTTTTCTAGCGCTTCCAATAGACGCTCCTACTGGTTTGCAATTATCTCTTGACTGGAGTCGATGGTAAACGTTTCGGGGGACAATATTCAGTGATGGACTAGCATAAACAACAGCGAAGTAAAAGATAAGTCGGTATTTCCAAAGCGGTTGTATCGGGTACCGGAAGGAGAAGCAGGATAAGACAGTTTTTGAATTTTATCTTACAGATGGATAACAATTTCAGTTCAGTTCAATTCTTGCAACTATTAACCGTGCCCTTTCGTGCGATCGATTTGGTTGCTGTTATTAGGTCACCCATTTGGAGGAAGGAGTATTGGGATGATTAGAATATTTTATGAAGTGCTAAAATGAATTCTACCAGCATGACCGTTTCCAATACTCAGTCGTATCATTCAGTAGCTTCAACGGTCAATCACGTTCATTCCGACTTCTCCTATCAGTTAATCTGCGTAGCCTACTCATCCAAGATTACTGGTTAGAGTTTTCATACTCTTTCATCAGATTTTTTACCTGATCACTTTAAACCATCCACCCACTGCTCGTTTCGAGAAACATTGCGTAGCGCTGAAGTCTATTTCGTGAGATGTGCAACGCTATCCAGGAACCGTAATATGAAGAGGAAGAGCAATTGTTCCTATGGTCGATGGGTAGTGGTCGTGAAAGCGGCTTAGTCGCTGTCACCGGTGTGTTTTGAACCCTGTGGTCCGAGGTTTGAGCCGCGCTATCGCCACCCAACTTTGGGGGTAGGCAGCTTTTCTGTCGTCCGGCTCTTTAACACACCTGAGCTAGAGGGGTTTTCTGTGGTTTGCCACTCCAAGGACCCTGAGCCTTCGGTTGCCGCAACTGAACCACAGGTCTTCGTGATTATGGGGTTCACCCCGACTGTCGTTTCTCACACACTGGTGCGTCTTGGTAATGCAGAGTTCGGTCTTGGCAATCCGTCGAATGAAAAGATATAAAAGTCTTCTGTAAGATTCCCACTGCTGCTCTTAGTAAATTGGAGGGGTCGTGCTACAACATAGTAATGATCTAATGAGTGATTATCGAGATCATATATCCACAACCGTTGTTATGATGATTATGTGGAAGTTGAACGTGTTATAAGCTTTTTCTAAGGCTTGTTGGTCGTAATCCGAAAATGTACCGCACTTGAGCTTGTAAAAGAATTGTGAATAAGACTGTTTGATAAATAGATCGCAAAAATGCGATTATGTTATATAAATTTGGGTCTTCTAATTTCGTTCGCAAGCTAATTATAAACAGAAACATTAGAATGAATAAGTTTTACTCCATGGTACTCGAGTGGCACGACTGGATTGATTTCCTTTGGTAAAAACTAAACCTACGTGCGGCCATTCGCTCACGTGTTGTGATTGTCACGTGAACATTATTTAAAAATCGCTAAGGTCAGGTTTTGAAACTAATCAGGTACGTCGTGCTCAAGATGACAATGGAGCGTGAACACAGACTAAACGAAATCCAACTCAAGTATAGTCGCTCCAGTGCACGAAGTGAGGATAATGATGTTGCAGTCTCGGAAACAGATTTGCCTCGGTCAATTTGTTCTACAAATGTCAGACTGTCCTCATGTTTTCTACGCTTCTATTCAAACTCAGACCCCGATATTATTCGAGGCGCATTGAAAGCCATGATTGCGTATCACTGCACACGGTTAGGATTCTACGCTGGCACGATCAGCGAACGTGCATCTTATGTCCTTCTCTCCTCATCGCGTCTGGTGAGATGGTTCAAAGAGAAAGGCATACCATGTGTTGTGTTTAGCGGTTTGCACGGTGCACTGTTCTACGCCGTATCCACTTTTCGTTTACGCATGTCCATAGACTTATACATTGAGCGCTTTCTACCTTTGTTGGTTGAGGAATTGCGCAAAGAATGTGGGGACAATCATATTCAAATTGAAGTGATTTATGATGCCATCATTTTACCCATGTTTGAAACACTTCAACCATCCGCATCCTCCTTGAGAGGAAACATTCTGGTCGATTTTACCTCAGTCAACCGAGGATTCTTCTCCAAGCACACAAATGATAAATTAGGCCTAAAGTAAGTCACATGCACGAAAAATGTGTTCTGTTTGGACACAACTAAACACTCATACAAAACATTGACTTTCGCCTTCGGCGGAATCGGAAACAGGGGTGTGTGTGTGTGTGAAAAATAAATCGCTCGCTTCCTTTTCTTGAGAATAAGAAAAGAAATCCAAATATGTTCTGATGAGATGCCCCGACGGAGTTGTATATCGAAAAAGGGCACATCGCATCAGTCGATTAGAACAATTTATTGTTCTCGTTTCTTTTTGCACTAGAAATCGAACTTTGAATTGTTGGCCCCTTGTCGCAAGGCCAACCTGCAGTCATTGTTTTGTTTGGTACCTTTCTGTTTGTCCGATCGATCGTTGACGGAGAAACTTAAGAAAAACAATGACGAAATGTATCTTTAAATTAAAAAAAGATTTCTTCCGCAATATATTGCGCTTGTTTGCGTGTTACTGGTTTTCTGACTTGAAGAAATAATGACGGGTGCGTTAAGTTCGCTCTTATATTATGAATATTCTTCCGTATTCACGTCAACTCTCTGCAATGTGGAAGATTAGCCAGCATTCAAGCACTGTTCCTTCAATCTGAAGTAATAAAAAGGTAAAATCCGTCAAGGTCAGATGACAAAAACCGTGGTAGTGCAGTTATTCACGTGCTCGACCTCCATGGATTGTCGTGGTACGGGTAGGTGTCACTCATGCGAAAAAGGCCTTGATCAGT